CTACATGGGTAATAGGGCGGATTCACATCAGGTAATTTTGTAGGGTTGCAATTATGTGATTATTTAATCGCATTACATCACCCTCCTTTGGAAAAAGAAGAATTTGGCAAAGTGATCAGATTTGCCACATTCTTCTTGCCCATAATAAAAATGAAGTTAAATTGTTTTGAAGGAACGAATTTGAAATGCATGTGGAATATTATTCCTCCTCCACTCGTTCGTTCACAACGATTTAACTTTCGTTACAAAGTTAATTTAAACCATATTGTAATTAGTTCTTATTACTAATTTATTTACTAATAATTATCTAATTCGCAAATTATTGTATAGTAGTCCCATAACTAGAAAAACTATTTTTCATATATAATTAAGTAGTAGTAGTATATTATTTAAATATATAGCTTATGCTGTATGTATAAACAGCTACGTCTTATAAGTATAGCATTTAGAAAATTTGTATTGGGGATTATTACAAAAAGGAATTCAAGATTTTTTGTAATGTAAATATGATAATAGATTTTTGTTTTGACAAATTAATTTATATACATATTTTTTGTTGTTGTGAAATTTTCTTTTGTGATTTTGGAAAAATTATACAGTAATTGTTTAGGCGCGTCTGCTAACACCAGGCGCCTAAATACATGCTATGTACTGCTGCATGTGCAAAAATTTCCTTTATGCAATTTAGGAAATTTTTGCACATGCACTTCTCAACTGCCAAGTAATTGAACTTTCTTAAGTTTCAATAAGATGGCACTTCAAAGTATGCTCTGCCTAGTCGGATGCATCCTCCGGACACTGCTTCCGGAGCATTCTGCGGACTCTGCATGGCTTACAACCATGCGGAGGTGGTAATAGTTGATTACCATTGGCCACAGTGCCTACCCACTACTTTTTGGTCCAATAAATATTTTTTTTATATACATACATGCAAACATACTGGTCTCCCCTCTCACTGAGTTATTCAGTAATAATTGCTTGTTATCAAATGCTTGTATAACTGAATGTATTCAAATCAATTAATTTTGTTGGTACTAAAATTCAAATTATTTAAAAGAAATATGAATATGTAATTATTGCTAGAATATAGTAGCCTAACCTGCAGGTGTAAACTATAAGTAATGCAAGTTTTTGAATCGAATAACTTATATCGTATTTGTTACAAAATATTTGATAGAGTAAGGTTAAGGTTTCAACGTATGTTTACACACATCTTAAATATTCATGTATGCGTTTTTCTTATGTGTTTAGGAAATTCAAGTGATTGTTAAATTCAAAAGTAGTTATTACATTTCGCAAATCAGTGATAAAGCGTAGTGAAATATTTATTTAGTGACTTTTTGTATTCGGTTTTTGTGAACTTTTTTAAACTTGTTTTTTGATTTGTCGAAAATTGTTATATTAACACCGTCGATTTCGGTTACAAGGTAAGGACCTTGGTATATGCTGTCGTGTTTGTCACGGGGCTCTTTTTGGATCAAAACCATGTCGTCTTTATTAATAGGTATTGGATGTGCATCTCTATCGTATAACTGTTTATTCCGGACCTTATGTTTGGTGATAAGCTCTTTTGCCAAAATATGCGATTTTTGCATACGGTACTTAACCTCTTTTGCATAATTTTCAACGTTATAAATGGGATCAATTCTTTCTTTTTTCAATTCGTGAGGTAAAGTCGGTGTTTTCCCGAAAACTAGTTCGAATGAAGTAAATTTGTTGTCAAAAACAGAATTTGGCGTTGTATTGTGCAAAAAGGTGAAATACTTAAGATAAGTGTCCCAGTCTGATAGAGTCTCATTTAGGTATGCACGTATGTATTCATTAAAAACGCGATGGTTCCGTTCAATTGTGCCCACCGTTTCGTGATGGTGTGCTGTCGAAAAGTTATGATTAATTTTTAAAAGTTTTGTTAGTTCCGAAAATATTTAATTTTTATATTCAGTCCCTAAGTCTGATCTGATGGAATTCATTATGCCGTATACTAGTATACAACTTTCGAAAATAGCAGAAGCGATAGTTTTGGCACTTTTATCTGGAACAGCAACGGTTACCAGATACTTTGTCAGATCGCAAATCATAGTAACAGCGAACTTGTTACCGCTTGTTGATTCTGGCAAGGGTCCAATTGTGTCAATTATTACTATTTCAAAAGGTTTGTTAGGTGTTGGCGTTAAAACAAGGTTTTCTTTTATTTTCGGTTTTGCCTTGTTTAGTAAACATTTTTCGCAATTTTTGACGAACTTTGATATATCACGGGTCATGTTTTTCCAAAAATATTTTGTACGGATCTTTGCATATAACCTTTTGACTCCGCAATGTCCACCACTTATTGGGTCGTTATGGTAGATTGTCATAAGTTGGTGTTTCTTTTCGTCGTCGGTCACAGTTTCGACTGGATCCGTCAATATAATTTGTAAGGTATTTAAAATTTTATTTCCGCGGTCTTTCAAGTTTGAAATTGAAAAATATTTGAAAAATAAGTCATCTTTAGGCCATTCTAACTTCTTAATGTTACGATTGTTGGCTTCGACTTCAAGCCGCGAAAGTAACTTATCGAAATTCGTTTTTTCGTTAACAATCGTAAAATTAAGTAACTCGAGTTTTTTGTGTTTTAAATGTGCACAAACTTGAAAATTTGAAATATTATTATTTTTACCATATATAATATTTGTTTTCACCCGGGGTATTTTTTTTGAGAAGTTATAAGAAAATTTGTCAAACACCTGTAAGGTAATATTGTCATTGCATTCGTTATCGTACTCTAATGGTGTCTGCCTCGTCGAGGATCGTGTTTTTACCGCTAATACTTGTTTAGGAGAGTCTTTTAGTTCGTTCATCGTAATCCGTGACAATGCGTCCGCTCCTAAATTCGATTTTCCTTTTATATATTCAATTGTAAAGTCGTATTCTGACAGTTCTAAGCGTATTCTAGCAAGCTTTGATGACGGGTCCTTCATGTTAAAGAGATAAACTAAGGGTCGATGGTCAGATTTCACCGTAAAGTGAGTGCCGTAAACATACGGTCGAAACTGCTTGATCGCAAAATATATAGCTAAAAGTTCAAGTTCGATTATCGGTTTATTCTGTTCTGCTTTATTGAAAGATTTTGACGCGAAACATATTGGCAAATCATTTCCGTCATTGTTTTGGCTTAATATAGCGCCGCACCCAACTTTCGAGGCATCGACCGTAATAATAAACTGTTTTGTGAAGTCTGGGTATTGTAGAAATTTTGGGGAAATTAACGCTGATTTTAACGATTCAAAAGCATTGTCGCACGCACTGTCCCAAGTAAACTCAACTTTTTTTCTGCCTAATTTATTTAAAGGCGCTGCCAGAGACGCAAAATTTGGTATAAACCGCCTGTAATAATTAGCAAACGCGACGAAACGTCGAACCGCATCCTTATCAGTTGGTTTTGTATATTTTTTAACAGCGTTTATTTCGGTGTCGTCTGGCAACAGACCTTTGGCTGAACATTTATGGCCTAGGAATGTAACTTCCGGCCGAAGAAAATTGCATTTATTGGGGTTGAGTTTTCGGTTGAAGTTTCGACAAGTGTCAAAAACTTTCGCTAAATTTTTTATGTGATGTGCTTCACTACATCCAATAACGATTATATCGTCAACGTAAAGAAATGCCACATTGGGCGGAATACCGGAAAAAGCGATTGTCATCATACGCGAAAATGAATTTGGTGCTACATTTAACCCAAACGGTAATACTTTCCATCTAAAAGCTCCTCGGTCCGTACTGAAAGAGGTTACGTCACGTGAATCAATATGTAAAGGGATTTGATGAAACCCTGAAAAAAGGTCTAAGGTTGAAAAATATTTCGCTCGGCCAAGGTTATCTAGAATGTCGTCTACTCGCGCAAGAGGGAACTTATCGGCAATCAATTTTTTGTTAACAGCGCGAAAGTCTACGCACATACGGTATGCTTTTTTACCATTAGTATCTCTTTTTGGAACGACAATTAAAGGACTATTATAATTCGAATAACTTTCTTCGATTAGTTCATTTTCTAACAACTTGTTAACTTGACGATTTATTTCTTCTCGTTGGGAATATGGTAATCGGTAGTTCTTAATGTAAACTGGGTTATTGTCTGTCAATCTTAGTGTTTGTTCGTAAAAGTTATTTAACGTCATTTTGTCGTCGGGAAGTGCAAATATGTCTGCGTAGTCTACGCACAATTTAAGTAATTTGCTTTCTGCGTAACTAGGAATTTGTTTTTTCAAAACGTTAATCAGTTCTTTTGTCCGGTTGTCATCGTTTCTTGTCTTGTTTATAGAATAAACATTGAAATTAGAAAGTTTTTCAGTCCGAATGTTACAGTTCTTTACGTATTTTATATCGTTTGTGGTATTTATGACTTTGACGATTGGGTTGCTTGTACTAATTATGCATCGTGCTGTGAATACACCGCTATCGATTTCTTGTGATTCCACAACGAGTGGTTCTGGTGAACTTCCTAAATTGAAAAGACGAAAAACTTCGCATCTGGGTGGAATTACGCAGGTATCGCTTTCAGTTCCGTGAAGAATCGGAATCGCGACTTTTTTGTTAGCTACCCAGAAGGAAATGCAATTGCTTGCGTAGCTGATAACGCATTTATTAAATTTTAAAAAGTCCTTACCCAATATGCCGTCTGCTGGAATATTAAAGTCATCGTTAACCACATGTAGCGTATGTTTTATAAAAAAGTCCGAAAAAGTCAAATTTGTCGTTATTTTACCCAGAGTAGCAACAGTATTGGAAGTAACGCCCGTTATGCGGATAATATCATTTGTATCAAATGGAAAATTTTCGGAAAAATTTAAAATTGTTATTAAAGAAATGTCGGCTTGTGTGTCGACCAAAAATGTACATAACTTATTAGACCCGGAAACTTGTAATTGAATAAAATCTGAATAATTTAGGTTTAAGCAGTAAATGCTTTTTGCTATAGAAAAATCGTTTAGTTGTTTAACTCCTGCTCCCCCAGTGTTCGCTCCTGAGGGGCATGAGCGTTTAAAGCACGGACATTTACATTCCTACTCCTACCGTTTGCTGTTCGTGCATTATTGTTCCTATTGGTGTTGTTGTTGGAATTAACCCGTGAACCATTGCTGTTATTGTGATAGCGGTTTCCGTTAGCGGATCGATATCGTTGACTGTTATAGCTATTGAAGTTATTATTATTAGAAGAAAATGACCTGTTATTCCTATAACCAATAAAATTGCGAGTTGGGTTAGCCCCACGATAGCCACCACGTGAATTTCTAAACGTGTTATTACCACGCGATCGGAAAGAAAGAACCTGACGCTCCTTCACCTCATTATTCTGCTCTACAATTAGTTTCGCAACTACGTCTTTGGAATCTGAAAATTTTGTTGAAGCTAAAATTGATTTTACTAAGTCTGACCTGGCGTTTAACCGACACACGCTAACAGTCTGCTCAACCGCCATTTCGTGAGCTTTTTCTTGAGTTATTCCTTCTATTATTAACGAACGCTCAAGAGAATCTGATAGTTCTTCAACGCGTTTGGCAAAGTCTGAATAATTGTTGTTGTTAACGTGTAACGCCGCAATTTTCCCTGCGACAACTTTCGAGTTGTCAGGCTTAATTCTATTGCGTAGAGCAGATTTTATGTCACTAACGGAATTTACTTGTATTGGTATGGCTTCGCGGGCTTTTCCCTCTAATTTGGATTTCAAAAATGCAATTAATGTACTGGTCAAATTTTCTTCAGCTAAGTCCTCAATCAAGCTAATTTTATCTAAAAACGATTCGAGCGCTAACAAATCCCCATTATAATTAATAATCGAAGCACAAAGGCTTATGAAAGACTTCTTTTGCTCTGCTGTGGCCATTTCTGTAAAAACTTTGGAATAAATTGAAAAATTGGGTGAACTAGTAGCAGGTGCTGGAATTTCTAATACACTTAGCGAATCTTTTATGCTTGGAAGCGAAGCGCTTCTTTTAATAGAAAAACTTACTGAAGCTTGTGATTTTGCGTCGGAGTACTCTTCTTCGGTATCAGAGTCAACTAAATCTGTTTTGCAAATGAACTCTAGAGGCTCTAGTGGAATTTTAATCTGACAATTCAATTTAATAAAACACTTCCTTAAAAGGTCCTTGCAACGTGTTAACTTTATCTGTACTTCACCAAACTCACAAGTTTCGCTATGACCCTTGACGTGCAATAAAATGTTATTGTATGAACTTATAAGTGAATCTCTGTACTCGTTAAGTTTTCTAACATTTGTTGAAAGCGGACGATTTTGTAAAATTCGCTTTGTAATTTTTAAAAATTCTGTATAATTTTCTTTAAATTCTTCGTCAAATTTGGTTATAACACGTTAAGTTTAGTAAAATACAAGAAAAATTACCTCAGCTAGCTGCTGTTCACCAAAATCCAAAATTTATTCAAAAAAGTTTATCAAATGTACTTATTGTGTTCTGTCCAAAAGTCCACAATCCGCTGAAAATTTCATGCAAAGAAGTGGGATTTCACATGCAAAAGGAGTAAGGATGTTGTTTCCTTCACTTTCCATGCAATTCAAAAGAGACTATTGTTTTGTTATTTTTGATTTGCTTTAATATAAAGGTTTTTTTTTTGCAAAAGTATCAAAATGTAGTTAAAACAAGTAAGAAAGTCTAAGTTCGGGCGGAGCCGAACATTAAATACCCGGCGCAAGTATTAAATATATGTTTTTTCACCCTTCCGAAACCTTCCGCTAGATGGTAAGCCGAGGTGTATCAATTTTGAGTAAATTAGCGTCCTTCAATTTCGAAATATTGAAGTTTCAAGCATTTCTTAAATTTACCGTTATATGAGAATCGGCCGTTATTTTAGTCCGATTTCAATAAATTTCAACGTTTTGCTTACACGTGGCAAGTACAATAACCATACCGAGTTTGGTACAAATTGGTAGAACGGTTACCGATATACTTATATGTGATCATAAGTGGGCGGTGCCACGCCCATTTTCCAAAATTTTACCATAAACGTATTTCTTGGTAAAGAATTGTTACAAGCATCAATTTTGAATAAATTAGCTTCAATATTTAATTATTTATCGAAGATTTTGTATTTCTCTAAATTACCGTTATATGGCATGTGGGCGTGGTTATTGTCCGATTTTAAAAAGTTTCAGCGGTTTTTTATGCTGTACCAAGGCCAACAACTGTGCAAAGTTTGGAAGAAATTGGTGCAGCGGTTACCAAGATATCCACATGTAACCATAAGTGGGCGTGGCTACGCCCATTTTCCAAAAATTTATAATATTCTTATTTTTCGTCTAAAACTTATTGTAAATATCAATTTTGAGTGAATTATCTTCAGTAGTTACTAAAATATCGCAGTTTTCGTATTTCTGGAAATTACCGTTATATGGGAAGTGGGCGTGGTTAAAGTCCGATTTCGCCCATTTTCAATACCAACCTACCTTGGATTAAGGGAAACCTACATACCATATTTCATTGAGATATCTCAATTTTTGCTCGAGTTATCGTGTACACGGACAGACGGACAGACGGACGGACAGACAGACATGGCTTAATCCATTTCTTTTTTCATCCTGATCATTTATGTATACATTTGTCTATATCTATCTCGATTCGTTTTGGCTGTTACAAACAACCGTTATGTGAACAAAATTAATATACCCTTGTGCACAAGTGCGCTCGGGTATAAAAAGTATGAAATGTAGTTATAAACCAATAACTATAAATTTTTAAATATCAAAAAGTCACATACATATGTATTAAATCAGAATGGGTCAATTACTAAGAGTCAAAAGTGAGTCACGTACTGAGTCACTCACTTGTATGTATGTATGCATAAAATGACACGCAAAATTTCGAAAAAGTATTTAAATTGTAGTAAAACTCCGAAAAGATTTTAAATTGATAACTGCATGAAAATTCAAAAAGTATTCAAAGTATACATACATACAAGGGTATAAAACTTGAAATTAGCCCTAAAAGCATCGCATTACTTATGCTTGTACATATGTTTGCTTAAAACTATGTATGTATACATTTATGTAGTAGTATTCAAGTTTCCACAAACAGAGAAAAAGTATGTATAAAGTAGAAATGTATATAATGTACATATGTGGTCGCAGTTGTCTTACTCTTATTCGCCTACGATCCTATACCGCCAATTGCTGCTTCCTGCTGCCGCCTTTGCTGCTACTGCTCGCTGTCGACGCTGATGGTTTTGGTGACGCCGCTACTGCTGCTGCTTACTGAGGAGTGTCGCGCCGTGGCTTAGCGGGACTTGTGTATGGCATGATTTTCACGCCGTTATAGCGGGTTGCGTTAAAATAGCGGTTTACGTTGGTGGTACAGTAGGTGTCGCGAGGCGTGGCTTTGTTGCCGTTATGGCCTGCTTAGGGTTGGTGGTACAGCACGTTCACAAAATTATAGTCTTTTTTTCTTTAAGTAGTTTGATGCGTTTTTTCGACACCACCAACCAACACATCCGCGAAAAGCACTTCTTTTTCCTGCTCACCGCCACCACAAAATGCATTAAATTTACATTTTAAACAGTTTTTTGATAATTTTGGTACCACCGCTTTTTTTTATTTTAATTTTTTTTTTTCACCTTCACTGCACGCCATTACCTTTTTTGTAAAGTTTAGTTTCTTTTTGTTTGTTTGTTGTAAAAATTTGGTACCACCGTTTTTTTTTTGTTTTTTTTTTAATTTTTTAATTTTTTTTTTTGTTTTTTTTTTTTTTTTTTAGAGTAATTAATAGTTCATTTTTTCCGTTTTGATATAGCACAAAACTTTTTTTTTGTAAGTTTTGCTTTAAGTTTTTCTCACTAATTTGTATATTTATTCAGTTCAGTTTGAATTTTGTTCTTTCGTCTTGTTTTTTTTAGTTTTAAACAGACGTTTTGTGTAGTTTTGAAAGTAATTAATTTTTTTTTTTTGTAATTTTTGATTTTTATTTTATTTTTTATTTTTTTTTTTTAGATTTTCTATTTTTTTTTTGTATTACCGCCACCA